GTGGTTTAACTATCCTAAATACCGTTTAGCTGATCGTCGGTCTCGTTATCCCTACAGTGAACCGCGAATAAATCAGAAAAAAAGTGATTAGATCGATTACCAATCAAAAATCACGCGTGAATACTTTTTCGCTGATTTTGCTCTTCTAATCAAACGCGTCCATAAGCACTAGTGAGAGAAATATTTGGAGTATTAGTATGTCTTTCATCCAGCAACCGCTGAAAACTTACTAACTATTAATCTTTCTGATTTCAGTGGCGAACTTTTTCAATACTTTTTGTTAGGGTGTCTAATTCCCGCAAATCGACAAGTGACGATGAGTTTGCGTCGTCATCGAGTGACGACAGGATCACGTTCACGTCGTCATTCAATTCCAAAATAGAAATAGCACGGCGGGAAATCAACCAAAAAAAATACCACCAAGTTTCAAATTTAAGCAAAAAAAAGATGGCGATACGCGCGATTGGAATGCAAATTGTCAAGTGACATTTACATCGTCATTCAAGCTCCAGCCGTACGGCAGTGGAACGTTTTTTCTTAAGATGTCTCTGAATGTGTTTCGAAATATAGTGGCCTCTAACGTGGCTGGGGCAGTGGCCAGATTCAGAGCGGGTAGATATATTAGTATGGTAATGGTAAAATTTTAATTAAACAAAAGATTTTCTATAATAAAATATAAAACTTACCGATTACCCAGAGGTAATATACAGTAATCATAACACAATTTTGTTCAAATTAAAATCAGTGCAAAACACCAATAACTTTCGCAAACCTTTCCCTGGAGAAAATAAATGGAAATGGCCAGTTTATTAATTCGCATTATAGTCCTAAAATCGGGAATACACAATTTGCTAATCTAAACTTTCTTCGATTCAGTGCACTAAAAATGGAGAATCAACTATGTAAAAAGCCAAGGCTAGGGGACCGCCGTGGACCGGCACATAGGCTCGCGGTCTAATCCGAACACAGATCCTTGTCTAGCGGGATTTTACATAGCTGATTCGTAAGAAGAAAAAAAAGGAACTATATAAAAAGCCAAGGCTAGGGGACCGCCGTGGACCGGCACATAGGCTCGCGGTCTAATCCGAACACAGATCCTTGTCTAGCGGGATTTTATATAGCGATTAGAAAAAAATACTATACTTTCATACAACTAGCTAGAATAACAAAACGAAAGCTTTAATCTTATTTCCACATTCATTTTCTTTTTATGGTTTTCTTTGGAGAGGTTAGGTTTAATGACAACCATTCCGCTACACGCACAATATTCCTTTTCTGAGTAGATTTCGTATAATCGTGATAGACATCGTCATTCCACCTGAAAATTCTCTGGAATGCCATAATTAGCAAAATTCAGTAAACATGGGTGTGTAAATAACAAGGAGACGTACTTCTATCAGTAATAACATTTTACAAATATCCGCTAATTTCGTCCAGTCATCTTCGAATTTCCAAGGTACTTCCAACTTGTAAATTCTTTCAGCAAGAAATTTGTCTTTGCCGGCCAGGCATACTCTCCAGAGTTCGCCTTGGTTTCCTAGTTTATTGTTAAAAGTCAACATTAAGATCTATTGCCAAAAGAGGGCATATTAAATTTGAAAACCTAACTGTGCACGATATAGACTAATTCACTATATTTCCTGGAGATTTCCACGTCTCCTTGCTTATTTGTCCAAAACTTTTTACCCAGAGTATCGACTGCATTGCGGAATGACTTATTCAGATCTCTGAAATTTGAAATATATGGCTTATTAGAAAGTAATTTAGACATTTCTGAAATAAAATCTTTTAACGCACCTGTAATACTTTGGCCATTTCTCATTTTTCGGGGGGCAAACGTTTTCGAACACTAATCTTTCAGTTGCGCAACTTTTTATGAAAAGTATGCCGTCACATTTTCTACCAGTCTTCTTATTGGACTTGTGCACATTCCGTCTTCGCCATTTCGACGATGGATGGATCATTTCGCACCATGAACTATCAAATAAGCCGGGGTCTTTGTTTTTCAAAATTTCGAAATCTGGCGCAATCCATACTGCTGTATACGTTTGTTCGCTCATGGTTTCGTTAAATTCAGATTTCCACTTATAAGCCCTGAGATTTAGGATAATATTAAATAAACTCGATAAGGACTAATTGAGACCAGCTGACAGTCTTACCATGTATCCAAAATTCTTTTTACGAACAAAGCATCCTTTGGATCGAGGTCGACTTCCTTCTCTTTAATAGACTTTATTGTGCTTTCTACATTACGCTAGTAAAAATGGATGTGACAAAAACAAAACTTGTAGTTATATCATTGCAGTTAATACACGTACCCCAAATACGTCGAGGACATAATTGTCTATTGCATTCTTTTCCTTATCGGTTATGTCAGGAACTTGATTTTCAAGCACCCACTTCTTCAGTTCCCCGTGTTGATCTCCTGCCTCGCGATCAGAAATATTGATAACTTCGGCTGTACAATAACTAAATAGAAATTCAGCAGAAATTCGAGAAAAGCATAGCTTATAATCAGGGACTAAACCTCTCGTCAAATTCATCATCAGTTGTATTATAATCGCTTTCGCTTTCACTTTCCCCTTCACATGCCGTTTTTACGACATTTCTTATGAAAAAAAAAATGACAGCAAAGACATAAGTAATCTCACCGCCAAAACTTATTACTTATAGGTAACGGGTAAAACCTCTTGTCAGATTCACTTTCGTCCTCGCTTTCGCTTTCGCTTTCATCTCCTACATCATCCCCTACTAGGCTAAACGCAAGATTGATGGTTAATAAAGACAGATAATTATATTGATTTATGTTAGCGCTGACCTTTTGACCTCGTAATCTGAATATTTTCCCAGAGGACTCGCTTCACGGCGCCTTCTCTTGCTTTGATGGTCAAGATCATCTATCCACTTTTGCCCAATTTTGGTATCAAATTCCATAACTCTCTTTTCTGCGTTGGTCCTGTGTTGAAGTTGATAAAGACTCCCTTCCTATATATAATAAAGAAGAGAGTAGAAAATATTCTAAGCAAACTAAATAGGACTAAGTCTTTATTGTATACCTTTGCATAATATTCAGTTGCAAGTCTTCTCCAATATTGATCGCAAGTTCGTAAGCCAAGAAACTGATAATCATCGTTCTTCATATATTTCATGTATTTTCTCACTTTCTTGTCATGATGGTTTAAAAGGCATTCGACCGTTTTTCTGAAAACCTGCTCTGCTTGATCCCGTTGATCGTGGCAGAATTTAAGTTCTTCGTAAAAAGACGTTGCAATTTCAGGAAGTTCGCTTGCGGAAGTAGTGTCCACCTTTTCTTTTATTATCGCTATTAGTAGACGATTGCGTAAGGCTTGCGGATCTAGTTTTATCCTCATTTTAGGGAAACAGAACGCGTATTAGTATGTAAAAAAATTTAGAACTTTATTGATGTCATGTGATGTAAAATCGGTCGACAATTACTGGAGGTTTGCATTTATAGAGGATTTCCTTAATAGGAAAGCGATTTCCAGCTAACTTTACATAATAATAAAAGTTTGGCTATAAATATCCCTAATTGTTAACTAAGAATTGTGTCATGTTACTTTGTTTCTTCAAACTATTGGCGGCATTTAAATAGCTGCTGGCACCATCTTGTTGAATTAGAAATGTTTTCTAAACTTTTAGTGCCTCATTAGCACTCACTATTGGGGTTTCATTACTAGAACTAGCGTGTAGGAAAGTCGGTAAATAATTTCTCATTGTAATTGACCGATGTGATAGATTGGTTGGAAAAACAGGCTGTGCATCAAATTCATAAGCTTTGCCCGATGTGCGAGCTTTAATAATTTTACTGTTCCGATGGGAGTCATACAAGTTGGTTTATGCTATATGCCACATGATAAATTTCGAGGTTGGGAGTTGTAGAAAATGAAGAGTATTTAGGGAGGGAGAAAGTGGTAGCAATAGTGGTTTCAGTAGTAGTGTAGGGAATAGAAATAGTGACAGATGGTATAACATTAGTGAAGAACAATGAATGGAGAGAATAGAGAGATATGATTGGTGTGCTGGATGGAAGAAAAAAATAGTAGAAAGGTTAAAGACTGCATTCCAGCCCTCCAAGATTCATGCAACTCTGCAAAGCAGATTCTCTATTAAATTGAGTTTAAAAAGTATGTTTATTAATCCCATTCTAATTCATTACAAGTCATATACCATATATCACATCTTGAGAAAAATGTCCTTGTTCTCTTTCATTAATATCCTCTCTAACATCTATTTAAAGATAGATATTTGGTCAAATTGGGAAGACAGGGCTACTGACATTATTATTTTGTCATTGGAGACAACTGCTGGAAGAAAGATGGGACAGCAGTCTGTCAAAAAATCAGATATTAATTTAAACCATCTAAGAAAAAACCAATGACAGTGTGGTTATTGCTATAAAAATTAAGTTTGCATAGTGTTATTATTATGGCAAGCTGATCTGATGAATCAGATAGATAAGTAAGTCACACAATAAAACCTTCCTCCGAACCCATGATCGACATCGAATTAAATTAGTAACGGCGTGTTGATCCATAAGTATGCCCACAAATGAACGAAATTTCTTTCCTGACAATATGTATATGCTTCTACAACACTTTTGTCTGTTGAGGTAAAGAATGTTTCTTTGTTAATTGGTATAAGTGGGTGTAATAATGAATGTCTTTTAACCATATTCAAGATCTCTTTTATGTTTTCCTCTGAATATTATGCCCTTTGGGATACATTGATAAAACTGAATTGTGTATTAGCTTCATTTGCTCTCCGTGTTGTATACTGACTTAATTTATCTTAATTTACAATCAATTGCTTGCTCAATGTGCCATAAACAAGGATATTTGCTCTTTGTGACCAAGAATAAACATCAGTAAGATGCCCTTGGTTCTCAATGCTAAGAAGAATTCTGTGAGAACTTTTACTCTTGAGTTAATTCTATTTCTCCAATAACCCTCTACAATCCCGTATTTGCTAAGTTTAAAGACTGTACTATCACTATCGAGGTTACAACTGAAGATTGTGTAGCAGTTGCAGAGCTGCTAAATGATATGTTAATGTCAGAAGCTTACAATGTGGAAGATTTATGAAATCAGAAGTTTCACCAATGGGCTACACATTATCTTGGGAGACCTGTTAATAAACTGCCACTTCTGCAACAGTCTCAGGAAGCTGAAATTTGAATACTTTATGCAAAAGATGAAATACAGTATGCTCTACTGATTGGGGAAGTAAAAAATGAGATTGGGTGTTCCTATATACAAGCTAGTGCTTCATATGCAAAATTTGTTGGTGTAAACCCTGAGATAGAGACTCAATTTTGATATCATCTTAATCCTGTTTTTCTTATCTACTTTGTATTTGCTGGACCTGTTTTGGACATTGGTGGTGCCATCTTTGGCCATACATTTATTGCACAACTGCTTACACATTGGTTTAACCTCCTTCTGTTGACCCTTGATAACAAATACATTAATTGACATGGCACAGGCATTTCGAGCTCTGAAGAACAGCCTACAAGATCTGCAAGAATACTATAATAATAACAATCTAGAACGACTTATCTTCAACCAAGACCAGAGTCTTATTATTATCCATATTCATCCTTCTTTGTAGACTCTGATGGTACAGAAATTACATTCAAATACCAGTGTCAACTGGTTAAAAACAAGCTACTCTTTCTTGTAACTGATACATACAATGATCAGCAATATTATGTTGTCAAATTTGGAAAGAAATATGGGGAAGATGCACATCACTACTGTGCTTTTAAGTCTATTGCACCAAATATTATAGCTGTTCAAAAACTTCATGACAGTTGGAATATGATTGTGATGGAACATCTCTCTCAGGATAAATTTACATGTGTATACAATGCTCTGAAGAATAGCCCTAACAATGACCATAATGGCTGGTATGAAAAAGCCAAAGAGTTAGTAAGTCAGGTGCATAAAAAAAATTTTGTACATGGTGATCTTTGTGTATCAAACTTGATGGTTTCAAAATACTGATTGTTGACTTTGACTGGGCTGGTAAAGAAGGTTATGCAACTTATCCATATTTCATGAACTGAGCTGAAGAATTGGACTGACATAATGATGTTCAAGATGGTGGCATTATTCGAAAAGAACATGATGTGCACTTTCTAAAGAAATCATTTGATAATGTTTTCTAGTAATGAAAAAGTTTGTTTCCAATATAATAAGCCACAATGGAAATAAGATATCTTCATTTTAACCATCCTCTTTTATTTGTGCTTATGTAAGTAAGAATGTGAATGTAATATTTAATTGCAACTGTTACGGTTGAGAAATAAAATGAGGTTTTGGGGAGAGCGATTTATCTTTTGTGTAGGTGTGTTCGCCGACCGGGGGATGTTACCAGGCTTAGCTCGTACTATCGCCCTTACTACGATAGTTGTGCAATTAAGACTAAATTAAGCCTCAAGTAACCTATTTTTAATTATGCGCGCTTCTCACTCCCTATCCGAGTTTCAAACACACGTGAATACAAACAAGGGTACCTCTAATAAAATAATAACAACAATTATTTTACTAAAGATTCGAAGGGGAATAATACTATTTTTAAATTCCTAAACAGGGCTATCTTCGATTTGTGTTTCGACTAGTCGGTATCTGTCACTTGTTCTATCTAAACTAATTAAACAATATTCGTCTCAATAATTAATATGAACTCTCGTTCCGTTATTCACGTAATTGATCCACGGACAGCTTACTAGCTTGATCAATCAATGCTATTCAGTTACAGCTTAAGTAAGCCGTTTATTGGAGTGTCCGGCCTAAAATTTGTATATTTATAATAAAGGATTGCGGGAGAATACTACTAAGGTCAGTAATATTTTATTTTTATTCGTAACATGACAACATTAATTTCAACTTGAAGATTTGGCGATGGAATATGAGCTACTTATATATCTTCGAGCGTCGCGGAAAAAACGCAACGCACTTTTAACTATTTCTAGAAGAACAATCAAATATAGATTATTTTATAGCGTTTTGTGCTGTCGCGGATTTTTCGCAACATTTTGTTTCCTAATGTAGCTTTTGAAACGCTGTTATTACTAAATTAATGCTTTTTGTGAAACTGAACTAAAATTAGTGTTGACTGCGGAGGAAGATTTTATCATGTGACTCACTTATCTGATTCATCAGATCAGCTTGCCGTAACACAACATATTCAACTTGCTAAAATGATAAAAATTATATATAGGATTACTCATATTAATATATGAAAAATTATAATTATAAGAAAAAGCAATCCGTTTCTTGTAATTGTGGATGTTCGAAAAAGATCCCAAGAGAAAGGTTTCTAGACCCGAGCAAGATATATTTTTAATGCCCCAACTGAAATCAATGGATGGTGGAGAAATAACTGTCAGCCGACGTCTTAAAAGAAAACTCGCGAACGTTTTACTACTGAGATCGCAATACGTCCCTTTGTCAGAAAATACGTGTATGTTAGGAATTGGTCGAACCCTTCTCCTTAAATCATACTTACTAATTATGAAGTATTTGATTTTATTCTTGGCTTCTGAAGAATACTAATATAGTATCTAGATTACCATAAGGTATACCAATTTACCGTACCTATCTGGCGAATTCTTGTGGCAACTTCGCAAACATATTAAACATAAACGCGTG